TCATCAGTTGTTTCATCGTCTCTCCTTCTTCCTTTTCCCTCTACCACAACTTTTTTTCATATAGCATCTCAATTGTTTTGTTTCTCCTTTTTTTGTGCAACGAATTCTCTTTGTTGAAGAAAGCAAAAACGAGAAACAAGCCAAGTAGTAGTTGTGACGACGTTGTCGGAGAGAGTATAATCGCTGATTGTGGACGTAATAAATCCCCCACTCGCTCCAGTATCTATCACGACTCGTCGACTCACCATAAAATTGTGTTTTTGTTTACATTCGATTTTCCCTTCGCTAGAGTTGGTCGTTAAATTGATCTAAAAATTCAGTTCATTTGAATTTGAAATCCGGATATTCTAAATTGAGTTTCATTGATACTTACGATGATTGTTTGGCCGACAGAGATGTCAGATTCATATGTTTCAACTACAAAAAAAAATTTTCGAAAAAAAAAAAGTTTATGGATGATCTTTTACCATGATCTTGTAAGATAATAAATGATCATAAATGTCCATGACATTTTTAGTGATAACTCAGTGACTATGTCTCATTTCCAATCCAGGTCTATGAAATTAAGACGCATTTCATCTAGTTGTGTTTCATCAAGTCTTATAACACAAAGGTATTACCAGACTGAATAGGCCATATTCATATCTATAAGAAATGGAACTTCCGAGGACATGCGATCAAATATTCTTGAATTAAAATTTTAAAATTATTAGAGTTTACATTTTTTTTAAACCAACATAATGGTCTATTTAAAATATATTACGGTATTTTAATTAAAAAGTACAATTTATTAAATTTTACTAATTAAAAACAATTCAATCTTATATGAGGTTTTTGCGATATGAGACTTTAAATTGTTGAATTGAATTGTACAATTCAACCTCATATGACGCGATATGAGGCTTTTAGTTTTGAAAACAATTCAACAATAGTTTACCTTTTTTATGATTAGTTTGTTTTCAAACAAAACAATTAATCAATTCATCTAAACTAATTGTTTAGATTAATCAATTAGTTTTGATGAATTGTTTGTTGAAAACTAAACTATAGTTCAACAAAATGAATTGTTTTCAAACAATTAATTAATCATCAAAAACTAAACTATCATTTAAAACTAAACTATTGTTGAAGTAAATTGTTTTCATGTAAAACAATTTAAAACTATTGTTGAATTGAATTATACAGTTATACGCGTCATAATACAACAATTCATATGAGGTTGAATTGTACAAAACAATTCAACAATTTAAAACTAAAAGCCTCATATCGCAAAAGCCTCATATCGCATCATAATTAAAAAACCTCATATCACAAAAGCCTCATATCGCAAAGAAAATCTCATATCGCAAAAGCTTGATATCGCAAAAGCCTTATATCGCAAGGAAAAGCCTCAAATCGCAAAAGCCTCATACCGCACAAGGAAAATCTCATATCGCAAAAGCCTCAAAGACACAAAGATCGAATTCTTCTCTGGTAAAAATATTCAAGGTTTTGATCATACTGTGAATGTATTTGTTGTGAGGAATTAAACTTATAACCTTCTTGCCATTGTGTTTCTCTTGCAGATGTGCTTGCTCTTGGTGATTTTTTGGTATCGTGTATCTGATCGTTGTTATAGTGCTTACGGTTTGATTTTCCAGAACTCCTTAAAGCAAGAAAAAGTGCTTCATCAATCAATCAAGAAGCATCAACGAGTGCATCTTTGTCACTTCACGGCTCTTTTTGTTCCTACAATTTAGTCTGTTGGACTATTGGTCCTTTCTCTCTTGTGTGCAAGTATAAAGAGAAGTTCACTTGGTTCGGTTTCAGTTTCAATTTCGTTGGGATCTCTGAGTGTTGGTTTTGTAAGAAAGAGTGTTGTTGATTTCTGTGTTGCAGATCAGAGTGGTTGATGAAGTGAAATTCCTGGTTTCTATCAGCTAATCATGAATCTATGTGAATCTTCAAAGGAATCCAGAACTTGAGAGTATGAATAAATCAAATCATTTAGAAAAAAAAGCAGGTCATCCATCATTTAAGAAAAATTTCAAAAAATGCCACACTTTTGAAATCTTTACAAAAATGCCACTTTTTTAAAATTATTTTTTCTTTATATTATTTATGTTTGGGTTAATTATGTTCTATTAGAGTTTAGTTTTGAATGTTTAGGGGGTTTTAGGTGTCAAAACATTTTTTAGGGTTTAGAATTTTAAGATATAAGCTTTATAAATCTATAATTAATGATATTTTTGTAAATAGACACCCCTAAGTGGCATTCTTGCAAATGCGCACACAAAAAATGATATTTTTGTAATTACCCCATCATTTAACTCTAAAATAAATTAATGAGCTTTTGTGAAAAAAAAGAGAGTAAATTAATGGCTTTACTCATATGACAACATAATGTTAGCCTAGGTTTTTTATTTTGGCAAGTTCAGATTTTCTGACTGACGGTGCTTTCAATTTCATTGTCGATTTCTCTTCCTTGAGTATAATTTTTTTTTGTTGTGTTCTCATTATCTAGATTGATTTCCAGTGAATTTGACGGATCTTAGTATTGATTCCGAGAAAGGAAATTAGGTAATTATCAAACCCTTTAGATCAATTCTTTGTATTTCCAGTTCTATCACTTAGTGTTGCGTTGTCACAAAAACCATACCTTGTTCATTGTCCATATCTCATAGGCTTTCGATTTGTGTTCTTCCCTGATTTCGATTTTGATGCTTTTTGTTTTCAATTCTTCATTTTTTTTTAGAAAAATGGATTGTGATTTTCCCTATTTTGAAGGGTACGTGAACTAGGACACGATGAATCGAGGAGGTTTCAAAAGGAGACATAAGACGTCCAATGCACGTCTTAAGAATGTTAAGAGGAAAAGGAAATCTCATCCTGAAAGATACAGATCAAAGAAGAGAGCAACGATTTAGTTTTAATGAACTTAGATTGTAATATTTATGATTGACTTTATGAACCTATAAACGTACTTATGAACTTGTATGAACGCAGGATAACAACGTCGAAAGAAAGAGACACGGTGGTGCGAGCGAAAAAATCATGCCCTGGTAAGAACATTTACATGCATGGTGCTACTTACTATAGACTGATATTCTTCCTGTATATGATTGGTTGGGTAACCTACTCTCTGGTAGACTGTCAAACGTCAGTGGTGAAAACTCAACTCAACCACATGCATGCTTTTCTTTATTCTCGTGCATGCTTGCGTTTACTGGTTCTGTTTCTTGTTGACTGTGTTGCCTTAAATTATTAACATGCATTGTTAGGCAAGTTTGATTGGTTGAACTTATTGACACACGGAATATTCATGCAGTGAAACTCAGTGGCGGCATTTTATTCTACGGATGAGGAGATCTCGGCTCTGTTTGCAAAGCAGTAGGAACAGCTCAAGACCATGCAGAGAAGTGTGGAAGAGGAAAATTTTGACAATACTTCACTAGATATTTTGATGAAAGAGCAACTAGCCATACGAATTGTGCTGGTAAGGAAAGCTCCTCCACTTCAGGGCAAAGGTCTAACAGATGCTACTCAGAAACATGATTGTGAAATCATGAGTCACGAAGTCCAAAACACCCAAGAGGCAGAATATAACAAAGTCGGGAAGGGTGGATTTGGCTCACATATAGAAGTTGTTGGTACAGAACCCACTTTGGGAACAGATCCTGTTGGAACAGAGCAAGTTAATGAAACTCAAAGTCCAGGAAATGATTATGAAAGAAACGATCATCTGCGAAAATCAATAATTCTAGCTGGTGATACGATCCAAACTCAGGTGCATGAAAGTATTCAGAATGATGAAGCTGCTCTTTTGTTAAGGAACCCCTTGGACGATCGAAGGGATGCCCAAGAAACGGAGGGAGTAGGCACTATCAGAACGTCCCATCTTCTAGCTTCTGAATTTGCTCGGAGTTGGGCTTATAGCACAGCTCCTTCTGTACATAGAGAAAGCGAAACAGAAAAAATTAGAGAGGATGAAGAGAGTCACACTCAAAGAATCAAGGAAGTGACCATAGCACATGTTTCTGCTACTCAGGTAAGTGAAGTTGACCGCCATAGCATACATGTAAGAATATAATAATAGTTACCAATTTTTTGTTTACTTAGGATACGGATATTGAGGAATATGAGAATATCGGATGTGTAGACTCAACTCTGAATTATGAGGGAAATACTGATATTGAGGAAGACCAGTGTGTCGACGTCGGATGTTGTGGCAAAGAGGTAATTAATTGGGAAAAATTTTTGTTGGTAATTAATTTGGAAATTTTTTTGTTTTGGTTTGATCAAGAATATAAAACTATAAGAATAGTTACTAATTTTTGTTTTCTTGCAGCAATTTCAGTTATCTTTGAATGAGAACGAAATATACGATAGCATGAGCAACATCAACGCAGAGATTAGTAAGATCGTATTTTAATAATGTAGGATATTTTTTATCGTGAACTTTGTGAAGGTATGAATATATGCTAATGAAATATATTTTCCAGTTATACTTCTACTCATGGTGTCGAATATTTGTATTTTTTGACGCAGGAGAAAATAATACAAAATTCTAACTCTTCACAAAAAGCTGGTGATTATCTTGTTCCATGTACACCTACTAAGTGTAATTTTTTTGTCTATGTGAGACGAAAGAAGCGAAAAAGTATTCATGGAGATCGCATCTTCAACAACATTCGCCTCTCGGCTGAGGTCTTGTTCAAGAAGGTAGATAGAGGTATTCGTAACTCTTGTTTGGTCGTCGAGACAGACCAAATTTTTTGGATTCTCTAGCTCTTTGGTTTAGAGGTTCTTATTCTCTAGTGTAAACTTTTCTTCTTCTTTTAGTACCTTCATGGTTTATGACCTAAGGTCTTTTTTTTTTTTTTTTGTAATGTAACCAGCTCCTTCTGAAATATAATCAGAAATTTTAGAAAGAAAAAAAAATTATATATTCTTTGGTTTCTTATCTATAAAACATTAATACATGTCATTTATCTTCCTCAGACATACATCTCTTCTCATGTTACATACTCTCTGCTCTCAAACTATACCAATATAAAAAAATGGACGGATCAACGTACGGCTGTAATCATCCTTAGCATCACAGTAATCTATCTTATCATCAATCAAATTTCTCAAATCCCTTGTAATGTTTTTTTATTACTTTATGCGACATTCTAGAAAATGTTTTTAGTTATATATCTAAAATATAGATACACTATACCAAGAAAGTAATATTTATGTTATGATTTTCAATATTTGATATTGTTGCGATTCTCACCTCGTAAATCTCCATTTTATAACGTGAGCCTCCACCAAACCACACCCTTAAACATAACAAATTACCATTAAAAATTAAGTTATCAAATTAGTTCTCAAAATCTACTAAATTGAAAAAATAAAAAAATTGTTATAAAAATGGGCTAGATAAAAAATGAACATTTTGGTTTATATTTCTTTTAATACTTTTTGTTAATTTTTTTGATACAAGGTTGAAAATTGCGGATTTAAATAATGCTTAAATTGCCACAAAATACATTAAACAACAATGCCAATCCCTTATCATCAAAGAAGCTAAATACCTTAGAGTGAAGCTTATCATTAATCAAATGCTAGTTCTCAAATCCCTTGTAATGTTTTTTTATCAGTTTATGCCACATTCTAAAAAATGTATTTAGTTATATATCTAAAACATAGATATAATATACTAAGAAAGTAATATTTATGTTATGATTTTCAATATTGATATGTGTCATATTGTTTACTCATGTGCTACTGTCAACTTTAACTGATGTAATTCTCATTTTATAACGTCCACTAAAACTTAAGTTATCAAAATCTAGAAATAAAAAAATTGTTATAAAAAATGCACTACAAAAAATGAAATAATAAACGAAGCACCAAACCAAACAAACCCTGT